AACTATCCGACCCAGTCATCCAACCCAGTCATCCAACCAAACTATCCGACCCAGTCATCCAACCAAACTATCCGACCCAGTCATCCAACCCAAAAGCCAACCAAACTATCCGACCCAGTCATCCAACCAACTCAACTCAACACACACAAACACACACAAATACACAAACACACACACAAACACATAAACACAAACACACACACAAACACACAAACACACAAACACATACATACAAACACACACATACAAACACACACCCACACACATACACACACACAGACAAACACACACAAACACACAGACAAACACACACGCACACAAACAAACAAACACACACACAAACACACACAAACACACACAGAAACACAAACACACACAAACACACACACACAAACACACAAACAAACAAACAAACAAACACACAAACACACATACAAACAAACTAACAAGCACACACACACAAACACACACACAAACAAACACACACACAAACAAACACACACACAAACACACAGCAGCTGAACATCCCACTCTACACTTCAGTGATCAAATGTCCTATCGGTGTCCAGCCAATAAATTATCCCCGAGTTCACTGAATTCACCGACTACAGTATTCATTGGCCTGAAAATACAGGGGCGATAAATCGACATCCAATACTTGACTAGGGATATACACCACGACTAACCCACTTACAAAAGACGAAAATTGTTGCAAATTTTTGGATCGAGTTATCCCCAGTGGGTGTGATTACCTCTCTTGTTGCCGTGGTAACGGGCCCTCTGTTGCTGTACGCCGTCTCAGACTGGCCAAATGTGAGCCCATGGCCCGAGTGCCTGGCTCTGTTGGCCGTCCTGCCATTGTCGCCCCACCCTGGGGCAGATCAGTTTTCCATCGCCGCTTTGCCTCGAGACAGATCCGTTTTCCTAATGGAATCTAGCAGTAATGCGCATGCGCCGTGCCGGTGTAATCCGTTCTATTAGGTGGCGGTAATTTAACGGCTGGTGGGAACGTCTTGAGGCTAAGGGTGAGCCGAGGTGGGAACGTCTTGAGGCTAAGGGTGAGACGAGGTGGGAACGTCTTGAGGCTAAGGGTGAGCCGAGGTGAGAACGTCTTGAGGCTAAGGGTGAGACGGTCGAGGTGGGAACGTCTTGAGGCTAAGGGTGAGACGGGGTGGGAACGTCTTGAGGCTAAGGGTGAGACGGGGTGGGAACGTCTTGAGGCTAAGGGTGAGACGGTCGAGGTGGAAACGTCTTGAGGCTAAGGGTGAGACGAGGTGGGAACGTCTTGAGGATAAGGGTGAGACGGTCGAGGTGGGAACGTCTTGAGGCTAAGGGTGAGACGGTCGAGGTGGGAACGTCTTGAGGATAAGGGTGAGACGGTCGAGGTGGGAACGTCTTGAGGCTAAGGGTGAGACGGTCGAGGTGGGAACGTCTTGAGGATAAGGGTGAGACGGTCGAGGTGGGAACGTCTTGAGGCTAAGGGTGAGACGAGGTGGGAACGTCTTGAGGATAAGGGTGAGACGGTCGAGGTGGGAACGTCTTGAGGCTAAGGGTGAGACGGTCGAGGTGGGAACGTCTTGAGGCTAAGGGTGAGACGGTCGAGGTGGGAACGTCTTGAGGATAAGGGTGAGACGGGGTGGGAACGTCTTGAGGCTAAGGGTGAGACGAGGTGGGAACGTCTTGAGGCTAAGGGTGAGACGAGGTGGGAACGTCTTGAGGATAAGGGTGAGACGGTCGAGGTGGGAACGTCTTGAGGCTAAGGGTTAGACGGGGTGGGAACGTCTTGAGGATAAGGGTGAGACGGGGTGGGAACGTCTTGAGGATAAGGGTGAGACGGTCGAGGTGGGAACGTCTTGAGGCTAAGGGTTAGACGGGGTGGGAACGTCTTGAGGCTAAGGGTGAGACGGGGTGGGAACGTCTTGAGGATAAGGGTGAGACGAGGTGGGAACGTCTTGAGGCTAAGGGTGAGACGAGGTGGGAACGTCTTGAGGATAAGGGTTAGACGGGGTGGGAACGTCTTGAGGCTAAGGGTGAGACGGGGTGGGAACGTCTTGAGGATAAGGGTGAGACGAGGTGGGAACGTCTTGAGGCTAAGGGTGAGACGGGGTGGGAACGTCTTGAGGATAAGCGTGAGACGGCCGAGTTGGGAACGTCTTGAGGCTAAGGGTGAGACGGTCGAGGTGGGAACGTCATGAGGCTAAGGGTGAGACGAGGTGGGAACTTCTTGAGGCTAAGGGTGAGCCGAGGTGGGAAATAGTTCTCACGCTGATGAAAGCTGAACATTTGTCTCAGTGTGATATATGGGATAGGCTAGGGCTAGGCTAGGGCTAGGCTAAGGTTAGGCTAGGCTAGGGCTAGACTAAGGTTAGGCTAGGGTTAGGCTAAGGTTAGACTAGGGTTAGGCTAAGGTTAGACTAGGGCTAGACTAAGGTTAGGCTAGGGCGAGGCTAAGTTGAGACTTTGACTGAGACCCAATCACATTGAGAGTAGACTGATTGCCGGCCACTGCACTAACAACTAAGTGACGTGACGTCACAGACCAGCCACCAGTTGATGACCAGTCACGTGATTCCCGTGTCGCTAATACCAGCTGATGATGTTTAACGGGAATCATTTATTTATTCCCGCCAGATTTCCCTGGGGCAGATGACGTCACGAATGTCCGGCAAACTTGAGGCAGCAGACGACACGACCAGATAAATTTGTTGTGGCTACCCTACATGTCTAGTCTGTGGCTACCCTACATGTCTAGTCTGTGGCTACCCTACATGTCTAGTCTGTGGCTACCCTACATGTCTAGTCTGTGGCTACCCTACATGTCTAGTCTGTGGCTACCCTACATGTCTAGTCTGTGGCTACCCTACATGTCAAGTCTGTGGCTACATGTCTAGTCTGTGGCTACATGTCTAGTCTGTGGCTACCCTACATGGCTAGTCTGTGGCTACCCTACATGTCTAGTCTGTGGCTACCCTACATGGCTAGTCTGTGGCTACCCTACATGTCTAGTCTGTGGCTACCCTACATGGCTAGTCTGTGGCTACCCTACATGGCTAGTCTGTGGCTACCCTACATGTCTAGTCTGTGGCTACCCTACATGGCTAGTCTGTGGCTACCCTACATGTCTAGTCTGTGGCTACCCTACATGGCTAGTCTGTGGCTACCCTACATGGCTAGTCTGTGGCTACCCTACATGTCTAGTCTGTGGCTACCCTACATGTCTAGTCTGTGGCTACCCTACATGGCTAGTCTGTGGCTACCCTACATGTCTAGTCTGTGGCTACCCTACATGGCTAGTCTGTGGCTACCCTACATGTCTAGTCTGTGGCTACCCTACATGGCTATTCTGTGGCTACCCTACATGTCTAGTATGTGGCTACCCTACATTTCTAGTCTGTGGCTACCCTACATGTCTAGTCTGTGGCTACCCTACATGTCTAGTCTGTGGCTACCCTACATGGCTAGTCTGTGGCTACCCTACATGGCTATTCTGTGGCTACCCTACATGTCTAGTCTGTGGCTACCCTACATGGCTAGTCTGTGGCTACCCTACATGGCTAGTCTGTGGCTACCCTACATGGCTAGTCTGTGGCTACATGTCTAGTCTGTGGCTACCCTACATGTCTAGTCTGTGGCTACCCTACATGTCTAGTCTGTGGCTACCCTACATGTCTAGTCTGTGGCTACCCTACATGTCTAGTCTGTGGCTACATGTCTAGTCTGTGGCTACCCTATATGGCTAGTCTGTGGCTACTTGGTGTAGCCTACATCAGATCGACAAAATCATGCCAGTCCAGCTGACCAAATTAATCGTAATTATATTTTAATTACAATTTAATTAGATACTAATTACAATTTTATTCCTGTACACATGTTGCTGGGATTACCTCACTAGGATATTTATGTAACTGGGAACTTCATGAAATGTCTCGTCATTTTATTCACACTTCAGGTGAGATAACACACACTTCAGGTGAGATAACACACACACACACAGCTAAGATAATTCACCCACACAGGTGAAATAACTCACCCACACACTTCAGGTGATATAACTCACCCACACAGGTGAGATAACTCACCCACACAGGTGAGATAACTCACCCACACAGGTGAGATAACTCACCCACACACTTCAGGTGAGATCTCACCTACCCCACACAGGAAAGATCATATGCTCGAACCTGGCGACAGATGAATTTACCTTCTGGAGGTGGGGGGAGGGGGTCGGCTGGTGTGTGAGAATGGCTATAGGGGGGGGGGGTAGAATTGGAAGGGTAACGTTGTGAAGTCGTTAGTTAGGTCGTCAAAAAACACAGCGTTCTAAAAATGTTTTCAGTGCTAATTAAATCCTGGCGGCGGCGACCTTTTCGGCTTTTAACGTATCAATTGAGAGGGATCGTGTTGGTGACCCCATGACCTAGCTGATCATTTGAGAGGGGTCGTGTTGGTGACCCCATGACCTAGCTCATCATTTGAGAGGGATCGTGTTGGTGACCCCATGACCTAGCTCATCATTTGAGAGGGATCGTGTTGGGGACCCCATGACCTAGCTGATCATTTGAGAGGGGTCGTGTTGGGGACCCCATGACCTAGCTCATCATTTGAGAGGGGTCGTGTTGGGGACCCCATGACCTAGCTCATCATTTGAGAGGGATCGTGTTGATGACCCCATGACCTAGCTGATCATTTGAGAGGGGTCGTGTTGGGGACCCCATGACCTAGCTCATCATTTGAGAGGGATCGTGTTGGTGACCCCATGACCTAGCTCATCATTTGAGAGGGATCGTGTTGGTGACCCCATGACCTAGCTCATCATTTGAGAGGGATCGTGTTGATGACCCCATGACCTAGCTCATCATTTGAGAGGGATCATGTTGGGGATCCCACGAACCCAGGGATGAGGGAGTGAACTACTTTTTGTTCAGGTATTTCACCTGTCTACTGAGACCGATTCCTGAGCACATCAAAGATGGACGGGTACCACGTGGTACAGATGCATGATGGACGGGTACCACGTGGTACAGATGCATGATGGTGAGTAACGGAAGATTACTCCTACTGCTGATGTTCTGCACTAGACCTAGACTAAAGTCCTACAAATACTGATGTCCTACCCCGCTAGAGCCCGCTCGCAAAGCGTGTCATGAGCACTTACTTAAGTAATTACCAGGCTTACAGATCCACGTCAGAACGAGGCTGTAATTACTGCACCACTTGGCTTCCACTGGCACTAATCTCCGTGGCCAATAAATTGTTTTCTCACAAAATCTCCTACCCACATCATCCACCCCACACATTTCACACCCCACACATTTCCCACCCCACACATTTCACACCCCACACACTTCACGCCTCTACCACCCCACACATCTCCCCACACTGTATTGTGTTTGAGTCTGATTGGCCGCCACACAAACGGTTAATTACAATTATCGATGACCGATCAGACCCACCCCCATCTGCCGGACAACCCCGCCCGTCATCGTCTGCTGATTGGGATTTGGTTTCTCGGTAACGTCGCCGCTCTAGGCTAGATAACCCGGGTATCACGTGGTACAACTCGTCACGTGGTAGCAGCCCGTGATATACGACATGTCGACAACTGCGCGCAGATGGCGCAGATAACGGCCTGAAGTGTTGACTCGGCCATTTTCTTGTGTACACGTCACTCAAAGCGCTGGGTAATCGAGAAAGTTGACTTCAATCCAAATGGAGAAATTGTGGATATTTATGACGTCACATGTGCGTTAGAACAGAACTGGATAAAGGATAGCCTGGATGCGGTATCCACTCTATCACATATCCAGGTCACCACAGACCCAGGTCACCACAGACCCAGGTCACCACAGACCCAGGTCACCACAGACCCAGGTCACCACAGACCCAGGTCACCACAGACCCAGGTCACCACAGACCCAGGTCACCACAGACCCAGGTCACCACTGACCCAGGTCACCACAGACCCAGGTCACCACTGACCCAGGTCACCACAGACCCAGGTCACCACAGACCCAGGTCACCACTGACCCAGGTCACCACAGACCCAGGTCACCACAGACAAGACCCAGGTCACCACAGACAAGACCCAGGTCACCACAGACCCAGGTCACCACAGACCCAGGTCACCACAGACCCAGATCACCACAGACCCAGGTCACCACAGACCAGACCCAGGTCACCACAGACCCAGGTCACCACAGACCAGACCCAGGTCACCACAGACCCAGGTCACCACTGACCCAGGTCACCACAGACCCAGGTCACCACAGACCCAGGTCACCACAGACCAGACCCAGGTCACCACTGACCCAGGTCACCACAGACCCAGGTCACCACAGACCAGACCCAGGTCACCACTGCTGTGTTTTCTTTGAGTTCCAGATACAGGTAAAAAAAAACAGCTCGCTCATATTACAGGAGAATGTGTCTATCTAGGGTCAGCTGTCAGCTGGCAGTGTCATGACATGTCACATGGGCATCTGTCAGCTGACAGTGTCACGATATGTCACAGCATCAGAAACAAACGACCAAGTCTGCCAGCTTCACTACACGAATGCGCGACCTTATCGACTACAGTTGGCTGTCACGATTGGCGACCTTATCGACTACAGTTGGCTGTCACGATTCACTGATTGCCACGGCGAGAAATTATTTATCGAGTACTTTCTTCTTGAACTATTTAAAAGAGATGTCGCCATTGCGTGTGGAAATTCTTGTTAACGTCTGATTAAGTGTTCTTCTCTTGTATGACACGCGGCAAGCTAAATGTCCTTCACCTTGATGACACACGGCAAGCAAAATGTCCTTCACCTTGATGACATCAGGCTAGCCAACTGACCTTCACCTTGATGACATTAGGATAGCCAACTGACCTTCACCTTGATGACACGCGGCAAGCTAAATGTCCTTCACCTTGTTGACATTAGGATAGCCAACTGACCTTCACCTTGATGACATTAGGCTGGCTAAATGTCCTTCACCTTGTTGACATTAGGCTAGCCAACTGACCTTCACCTTGTCTGTATTTGGACGAGTACGAGACATCGCTAACTTAAAAACCTCACATAAATTACCCTGTAGCCACTGACCAAGTGTGTACTAATGAATTACCCTGTAGCCACTGACCAAGTGTGTACTAATGAATTACCCTGTAGCCACTGACCAAGTGTGTACTAATAAATTACCCTGTAGCCACTGACCAAGTGTGTACTAATGAATTACCCTGTAGCCACTGACCAAGTGTGTACTAATGAATTACCCTGTAGCCACTGACCAAGTGTGTACTAATGAATTACCCTGTAGCCACTGACCAAGTGTGTACTAATGAATTACCCTGTAGCCACTGACCAAGTGTGTACTAATAAATTACCCTGTAGGCACTGACCAAGTTTGTACTAATGAATTACCCTGTAGCCACTGACCAAGTGTGTACTAATGAATTACCCTGTAGCCACTGACCAAGTGTGTACTAATAAATTACCCTGTAGCCACTGACCAAGTGTGTACTAATGAATTACCCTGTAGCCACTGACCAAGTGTGTACTAATGAATTACCCTGTAGCCACTGACCAAGTGTGTACTAATGAATTACCCTGTAGCCACTGACCAAGTGTGTACTAATGAATTACCCTGTAGCCACTGACCAAGTGTGTACTAATGAATTACCCTGTAGCCACTGACCAAATGTGTACAAATGAATTACCCTGTAGCCACTGACCAAGTGTGTACTAATGAATTACCCTGTAGCCACTGACCAAATGTGTACTAATGAATTACCCTGTAGCCACTGACCAAGTGTGTACTAATGAATTACCCTGTAGCCACTGACCAAGTGTGTACTAATGAATTACCCTGTAGCCACTGACCAAATGTGTACAAATGAATTACCCTGTAGCCACTGACCAAGTGTGTACTAATGAATTACCCTGTAGCCACTGACCAAGTGTGTACTAATGAATTACCCTGTAGCCACTGACCAAGTGTGTACTAATGAATTACCCTGTAGCCACTGACCAAGTGTGTACTAATAAATTACCCTGTAGGCACTGACCAAGTTTGTACTAATGAATTACCCTGTAGCCACTGACCAAGTGTGTACTAATGAATTACCCTGTAGCCACTGACCAAGTGTGTACTAATAAATTACCCTGTAGCCACTGACCAAGTGTGTACTAATGAATTACCCTGTAGCCACTGACCAAGTGTGTACTAATGAATTACCCTGTAGCCACTGACCAAGTGTGTACTAATGAATTACCCTGTAGCCACTGACCAAGTGTGTACTAATGAATTACCCTGTAGCCACTGCCCAAGTGTGTACTAATGAATTACCCTGTAGCCACTGACCAAGTGTGTACTAATGAATTACCCTGTAGCCACTGACCAAGTGTGTACTAATGAATTACCCTGTAGCCACTGACCAAATGTGTACAAATGAATTACCCTGTAGCCACTGACCAAGTGTGTACTAATGAATTACCCTGTAGCCACTGACCAAATGTGTACTAATGAATTACCCTGTAGCCACTGACCAAGTGTGTACTAATGAATTACCCTGTAGCCACTGACCAAGTGTGTACTAATGAATTACCCTGTAGCCACTGACCAAATGTGTACTAATGAATTACCCTGTAGCCACTGACCAAGTTTGTACTAATGAATTACCCTGTAGCTACTGACCAAGTGTGTACTAATGAATTACCCTGTAGCCACTGACCAAATGTGTACTAATGAATTACCCTGTAGCCACTGACCAAGTGTGTACTAATCAATTACCCTGTAGCTAATGACCAAGTGTGTACTAATAAATTACCCTGTAGCCACTGACCAAGTGTGTACTAATGAATTACCCTGTAGCTAATGACCAAGTGTGTACTAATAAATTACCCTGTAGCCACTGACCAAGTGTGTACTAATGAATTACCCTGTAGCCACTGACCAAATGTGTACTAATGAATTACCCTGTAGCCACTGACCAAATGTGTACTAATGAATTACCCTGTAGCCACTGACCAGATGTGTACTAATGAATTACCCTGTAGCCACTGACCAAATGTGTACTAATGAATTACCCTGTAGCCACTGACCAAATGTGTACTAATGAATTACCCTGTAGCTACTTACCAAGTGTGTACAAATGAATTACCCTGTAGCCACTGACCAAATGTGTACTAATGAATTACCCTGTAGCCACTGACCAAATGTGTACTAATGAATTACCCTGTAGCTACTTACCAAGTGTGTACTAATGAATTACCCTGTAGCCACTGACCAAGTGTGTACTAATGAATTACCCTGTAGCTACTTACCAAGTGTGTGCTAATGAATTACCCTGTAGCCACTGACCAACTGTGTACTAATAAATTACCCTGTAGCTAATGACCAAGTGTGTACTAATAAATTACCCTGTAGCTAATGACCAAGTGTGTACTAATGAATTACCCTGTAGCTACTTACCAAGTGTGTACAAATGAATTACCCTGTAGCTACTGACCAAATGTGTACTAATGAATTACCCTGTAGCCACTGACCAAGTGTGTACTAATGAATTACCCTGTAGCTACTGACCAAATGTGTACTAATGAATTACCCTGTAGCTACTGACCAAGTGTGTACTAATGAATTACCCTGTAGCCACCCTGACCACGTGTGTACTAATGAATTACCCTGTAGCTAATGACCAAGTGTGTACTAATAAATTACCCTGTAGCTAATGACCAAGTGTGTACTAATGAATTACCCTGTAGCTACTTACCAAGTGTGTACAAATGAATTACCCTGTAGCCACTGACCAAGTGTGTACTAATAAATTACCCTGTAGCTACTGACCAAGTGTGTAATAATGAATTACCCTGTAGCTAATGACCAAGTGTGTACTAATGAATTACCCTGTAGCTACTTACCAAGTGTGTACAAATGAATTACCCTGTAGCCACTGACCAAGTGTGTACTAATGAATTACCCTGTAGCTACTTACCAAGTGTGTACAAATGAATTACCCTGTAGCCACTGACCAAGTGTGTACTAATGAATTACCCTGTAGCTACTGACCAAATGTGTACTAATGAATTACCCTGTAGCCACTGACCAAGTGTGTACTAATGAATTACCCTGTAGCCACTGACCAAGTGTGTACTAATGAATTACCCTGTAGCTACTGACCAAATGTGTACTAATGAATTACCCTGTAGCCACTGACCAAGTGTGTACTAATGAATTACCCTGTAGCTACTGACCAAGTGTGTACTAATGAATTACCCTGTAGCCACTGACCAAATGTGTACTAATGAATTACCCTGTAGCCACTGACCAAATGTGTACTAATGAATTACCCTGTAGCCACTGACCAAGTGTGTACTAATGAATTACCCTGTAGCCACTGACCAAGTGTGTACTAATGAATTACCCTGTAGCCACTGACCAAAGGTGTACTAATGAATTACCCTGTAGCCACTGACCAAATGTGTACTAATGAATTACCCTGTAGCCACTGACCAAGTGTGTACTAATGAATTACCCTGTAGCCACTGACCAAGTGTGTACTAATGAATTACCCTGTAGCCACTGACCAAGTGTGTACTAATGAATTACCCTGTAGCTACTGACCAAGTGTGTACTAATGAATTACCCTGTAGCCACTGACCAAATGTGTACTAATGAATTACCCTGTAGCCACTGACCAAGTGTGTACTAATGAATTACCCTGTAGCCACTGACCAAGTGTGTACTGATGAATTACCCTGTAGCCACTGACCAAGTGTGTACTAATGAATTACCCTGTAGCCACTGACCAAGTGTGTACTAATGAATTACCTTGTAGCCACTGACCAAGTGTGTACTAATAAATTACCCTGTAACCACTGACCAAGTGTGTACTAATGAATTACCCTGTAGCCACTGACCAAATGTGTACTAATGAATTACCCTGTAGCCACTGACCAAGTGTGTACTAATGAATTACCCTGTAGCCACTGACCAAGTGTGTACTAATGAATTACCCTGTAGCCACTGACCAAGTGTGTACTAATGAATTACCCTGTAGCCACTGACCACGTGTGTACTAATGAATTACCCTGTAGCCACTGACCACGTGTGTACTAATGAATTACCCTGTAGCCACTGACCACGTGTGTACTAATGAATTACCCTGTAGCCACTGACCAAATGTGTACTAATGAATTACCCTGTAGCCACTGACCAAGTGTGTACTAATGAATTACCCTGTAGCCACCCTGACCA